CACCTCATTGTCCTGCCCTTCGATGCCAACCGTTTGAACAGTAGGATGTATCATTAACAATAAACGCATGCACGACACCTTCTGGAGGCAGTCTTCAACCCAATCTTCCTGCAGGTGTATACTCACATCCCAAAATCGAAGTGCAACCAAAACACAATGCTGAGCCTTTTTTCTCTTGGATGACTCTGTTAGTATCTAAACACAAGCCTCGTCGATACACAATCATTTTTGCGCTGTGTCACTACTCCTTTGTACGTTTTGCCGAGCCTACGGATGCATCCGGTATAGGTATGTTATATGAATATTATATGATCATGTGGTTCTGGCAAGGTGAACCAAAGATTCGCCCACAAAGTGTGAAACAAAAATTAAGAAGCAATGAGGTCACAAGACCCGTTGACCCTTGCCGGGGTCAAGAATGAGAATTGCAATTTCTTAATTGTTATCCCTCAAAAAACAGGCATACGGCATACAGTACAATCGAGATACTGGATGATGATGGCGATGATGACGATGATGATGGAGGCAAAAACATCTCAAGACTTTGGACAACAGTTTCTTCTTGTCTCCTTTTCCAAAATTCGAGTGCAAAATGCCATGCTGCCACACTTGCACAGTTTTGTTTGCTGTACAATTTTGACCTCCCCCTGGTGTCTGACGGAGTCTGTGCTGAGCCTGTGTTAGTGCAGTGTTGTGCAAGTCTGGAAATTCACATTGAACTTTATGAACTCAATCTAAGCAAGGTGAGCCTTTTTCTGTTTCAGAACCAAGTGCTTGCAAGCACCGCGCATATCCGTTGTCTAAAGCTGTCGAAAAGATAGAAAACATTGAGAAAATTCTCGATCAGTGTGGCCAATCGAGGTTTATAAAAGTTTATGACTTGTCCCCGATCCTTTCACATAAATCTGTTTGAGGAGACTTTGAACGACACCATATTGGACACCCAGTCGACGCAGCTTGACCCGGAAACTCAAGATGCAAATGGTGATGAAGAGGCTGATCCCAAATAGTCGTGAAATGTCATGGATCTGTGTTGAAATGATTGATGCATAGTGCGTCAAAGGCAAACCATCAAAGGTTGCCGATACTGGGGATATTGTATAGGGCTAGGGCGTTGGCAAGCAGGACACCGCGGTCACGATGAAGAGACAGTCTCCAGAACCAGCTGGGGTGCCAGCCGAGGACACCAGTGAAACTCTTTTGGCTGCCTCGACGACTCAATGTCTTGTGAATTTTCTTTGCAGGATCAGCTCTCCACTGCACAGCCAGACGAAGAAAAAAGCGTTCTTTGTCAGCAATTCTTGTGCTCCCACTCCAGTCACCAACAAGTTTGACCTACGAGTCACAGTGAAAGCATTGAAAATCAGTGAAAGCTAGTGCAGGTCAAGCCAGAGGCCAAGCCCCAGACGCGGCGCTCGAGACCCAGTTGTTTCATGTTGTTTCTGTATCCTTTCTTTGCAGCTTGTATTCTGATGTATTCTGTGCATGGAGGTCTGCTGGAACGAGTTGGGTAACACAGCTTGTCTGCATGCTTGCCAGGAAGCAAGGGAAATGCCCAGAAGCCAGAGGAGGCAAGTGTCATAGTTACATAGTTGCCGTTGTGAAGAAATCCAGGAGCGCTGGATGTGCAGGCTCCTTCCTCCAGAAGGACTGGCCGCCAACGCATGCCTCCGTCAAAAGCTTAGCTTGTACAGGCTTGTGTGCTGACCGACAAGGCTATCAGCTATCATTTTTTGGGTCTTGTGAGGGTCCTTCAGTTGCCAATAGCCAAAACTTTCAGCTTTCAAGATCTGACACCCAGCATAAGCAAGTGCATGAGCGTGAGTGCAAGCAAGGTGTGTCTGGTTTTTCAGGGTTGTGCTGAAAAGCGGAGGCTGGAGCATTGGAAGAATGAAAGGTGCGTTTATGAGCGCAAATCTGGGTGGAAGCCTTATCTTTTACACGTGACAGCCCTGCTTCGTGTCCAAGGAAACCACCCGAACAGGCTCTTGTCAGCTCTTGTGTTCAGGTCTTCTGTGCCTTCTCTGGCTGCAGTTGTGAAGTGCCCGGCGGAGGCTCAGAAGTCTGGCACTGAGTGTGTTCAAATGCAGAGTGGGCAGAGTCGAAATGAGTCGAAGATAGTGTTCGAACGTGTGGGGAACTTCAACTTAGTTTACTTAGTTTCCTTCAGGATTTACTCCGTGGACAATGCAAAGGGAAAGCGAGCAAAGGACAGGTTGCTGGCTACCAATACTGTACTCAGTGAGCGCAAGTGTGTTTTCTCCCTGTACATTTGCTTTCCAGGTCGCTGAGTCCACGTCCACATCAAAGAGGAAGCGAAAGGACAACATGGCAGCAGAGTCGGTGGCAGAGTCAGCCGATGGTGACCTTTCTGACCACGACGATGCTGGCATTGTAAGCCTTCCAATGCCTTCAATCTACGACATTGTGGACAAGAAAGACAAGAAAGGCAAGAAAAAGAGCGAACACATCCGGACTCCGGATGTTCCAAAAGCGGGAAAAGTGAAGGGGAACAAGTCTGAAGCTGCGCAGAAGGAGTCGGTTGCAAAGGACACCCCTTCCTCAAGAACCTCAAAGGGCACCGGTGCACACGGTGGTCAAAGCTCGCCACCACGGGGCCTTATGGGTGCTTTGGAAGCTGCTCGCATGGAAGCTGCAAGGATGCGAGGCATTGCACGGCCGTTGGCTTCAGTGACTTGACTTCTTGTACGGTTGTGAGGAGTTTGGGAGTTTGCGGTACTATATTGATTCTAGAATGCCATTGTTAAACTGAGGCTGAGGCAGACTGCTCTTCCTGATTTTGTTTTAGACCCCATTGAACCCAACCTAGGGCCCACTGGCACGTCTTCGAATCACATATCACATATCCGTCAAAAAGCAAAACATATCTTGTCTCCTTTGAAGAGATGACCTCAGAGCTCAGCCTCACGAAGTCTGCACATGCAAAAAGTAGCATTCTAGAGCAAGTATTCCAACCAGCTGGATACTGCAGTGCTTGCAATTACCCATGGCTCACTGGACCTGCATAAAGAACAAACTCGCCGAATTGGATGCGAACAGATTTTTTAGAGGTTCTGCAATTTGTGCTGGGCGAAGGCGAACAGCAGTGCACCATCTTTGAACAACTTTCGGTGTAGCCCTTGGCTGCGAGTTGCCAAGCCTTCAAACTAGTTTGCGGTTCTGGTTTTCAAAGGGAAGCATTCATTGCAGCTTCTTTCAGCTCAGGGGAAAACCTTCGCTGGCTGCCATGGCTGCTGCTGCTGCTGCAGCAGCCTGGACCTCAGCTTTGTGCCAACCCGACTGTACCGTCTTGGTGTTGCTATCAGACCTTCCGCCCTGGTTTGTTACACGATCTGGTTCGTTTCACTTGTGTTGACTTGAGGTTGGCAATGGGCCTTCCCCGGCTAGAACAGCAGCTGCCCTGATTGTGTTTGGAAAGTATGATGCTGGCACTGCTGCCACTGCTGCCACTGCTGCCACTGCTGCCGCTGCTTGCATTTTCCGATTTGAGTTTGTCATTCTGGACCACTGAGGCTGCAGCGGATGCAAAGCCTGCCCAGAGGAGGCGGTGACAAAAACGGGAACCTGTGCTGCCGAGAGGCCTAGCTAGAGAGTAGGTGCCGGACACATCACTGAGGACCCTTCTCAATTTCAGCATCTAAATTGGCAAAAATGTCAGCCACCCTGCCGCACCCCTTTTTTGTTGTGTTGGGATTTTGGCAGTCTTTCATTGTGTTGAAACGCTTTTGCCGGTTGACGCTGGCAGGGCCAGAAAGTGAGGAAATATTTTAACGACTGCGAGGATTCAGATCTGTGTGACGCAGCACTTGCACACAATTGAGTGAAATATAGGGTTGTGAAATGCAGATGAGCTGAAATAGAGGCAGCACTCTGCAGCACCCTGTGATCTCTTAAGCCGTTGGAGAGCAGCGGCTCGAGAGCTTTAATTTGCTACTCTGATTTCGTAGGTAGTTAATTCGATCTGTTGAAGCTCATAGTTTGCGGGTGAGCACATCGGGGATTGAAAATTGTACTTGGAATGCATTCCATAAGTCTATTGCAGTGCATGTGCTGATCATGGTCAATTGTGTTTGACGTGGCATTCCTGTTCTGTCTCTGCATCATTGGCACAAGATTCAACCAGTGCCATACCTAGCCAGGCTGCCAAGGCTTCGGGGCATTTTCATGCATTTTCTGCAACGTTTTTGAAAGCCTGATGCGTCAAATGTCTCTCAAACTCCCAGAGAGGTGTTTGGCAACCATGGCTCGCTTCCCTGATGTGAATCAAATGCCCCTTGGTCAAAACCATCGATGCAACTTCCAGATTTACTGCACACCTGTGGGGAAGACATTGCCTGGAGCACGATTTGGCTTGCAAGGCATTTGTGTCAGTCTTTATTATCCTGCTTGCTATCCAAACTGGCCACAGCAGATTCGCAAATTCTTTTTTCGGGTGTGTGTTCTCAGAGTCACTGGCAATTCTGTGCTCGGTGACTGATCCTTTGCTGAAAGGTACAGTGTCAAACTAGACAACATCACTGTCACTCCGGAAGACTTCGTGGCAGTGGGGCTCTCAGAGACCAATCGCATGAAAAAAATGAGCCGTGCAGAGATGCCATGCTTGGCGAGCTACTGAGAAGCTAATGAAGCAGCGCGGAGTCGCCTGAGTGACCTGAGTCACCTGAGTCTGTGAGATCTGTGAGGTCAAAGAAGAACTTCGAGAAAAGTTCTCGAAATTTGGCGACGTTGGTGACGCAGCTAGCTGAGTTCAGCCTTATCGAGCATCGCTTTCAACAGCAAGCCCCCTGGTTCACAACACCGCAACGCTGCTCACAAGGTGTACATTCCAAGGGATCGAAACTTTGCATTTGTACGATTCAGGGACAAGCGCCGCAGCCTTGGCAATACTCAATCTGATATTCAGCACGACTAATCACATAAGATGCAAGCAACAAGCGCACACGCTGCCTGAGGTGATGCTGAAGATGCGGTGGATGCCATGGTGCGCTCCAGATCTTGTGTGGCACCATGCTATCCAAGTGGTCGTTTCACATGCCCACTTCAAGGAAGGCAAGACCGACATCTTGGGCCAAGAAGTCAGAGTGACGATGGCATCACAGGCGCTTCGGAGAAGGGACAGCTGTGATGCTGTGATGCCATCCTGGCATGAGCCCTGTAGAGTGCACCTGCCAGGCGAAAAAGGCTGCGGAGGAGACCTTAAAATCCTTAAAACAACGAAAATGATCGACGAATCGAACCTGTGTATTCACCCCGCTTCGCGTGGGGTGGCCGCCCACACCGCAGGTTTATTTCGGTCCGTGAGAGGGGCTAAGGGTGGTTTTCCCCCGTGGGGGCTCCCCAAGCTAAGAATTTTCACTTCCCCCCCCCGTGGGGGCTCCCCAAGCTAGGGAATTTTCACTTTTCCCCCCCGTGGGGGCTCCCCAAGCTAGGGAATTTTCACTTTCCCCCCCCGTGGGGGCTCCCCAAGCTAGGGAATTTTCACTTTTCCCCCCCGTGAGGGCTCCCCAAGCTAGGGAATTTTCACTTTTTCCCCCCCGTGGGGGCTCCCCAAGCTAGGGAATTTTCACTTTTCCCCCCCGTGGGGGCTTCCCAAGCTAGGGAATTTTCATTTTTCCCCGCCGTGACAGCTTCCCAAGCCATGGACTTTTCACTTTTCCCTCCCTTGGAGGCTCTCCAAGCTGCGGAATTTCAAATAGCTAGACAACGACGCCTAGATAGTCCCCCAAATCCCGTGTTCTTTGAATGTGTTTCCATGTTTTTGCAATGGTTTCCTTCAAAGCACGGTACTTTATACTTTTGTCGCCATAAAACCGGTCGAAAACATCATGTTCGACAATGCTTCCAATTCCCTTATCTCCCCAACCGTTGAAAATACCGCTATTTACAGTGTTTTCTTCAATTTTTCCATGTGCCAATGCCGGTAGCCAACTCCAACATATATATATATATAAGAAATCCTTCCAAAACATTGTTTTTGACAGTGTTTTTCCAACGTTCCAGTCAAACAGACGGTAATTTACACGTTTTTTGCCATAAAGGCAGTAAATCCTTCCAAAACATTGCTTTTGACAGTGTTTTTGTAATGTTTCCAGTCAAACATACGGTAATTTACACGTTTTTTGCTATAACGTCAGTCCAAAACACTTGTTTTTGCAGTGTTTTCAATGCTCTGGCATCCAAAAACCCTGCAAAATCTTGCTATGCACAATGTTTTTGTCATTTTTGGCCGTTTTTCCATTGCCGGAAAGCTACCAAAATGACCCAAAATTCCATTTCAATACCCTCTTGCGCTCAGACACCCAAAAATCCTCGAAAAATGTCGAAAACACCACCGTATTCTGGTCTCGGTGCGAAACCGTTTTTGGGGTCTGGTCTCGGTGCGAAACCGTTTTTGGCCCCCCCCCCAGCTAAAGCTGATATAGCGACTGCTATATTAACAAATGTCATTGAGCATTTAGTGTTGCTGTTGCCCCCCAATAAGCACGCCTTCACCGCCAAAGCGGTGTGGGCGGATTTTTGGTTTATGGTCAGGGATCCGAAGGTGGGAAGGGCCTCTCTCGCATTTGTTGCGCACTTGTCACATTTTCATAGCTTTGCACCCCCACTATGCCCAGTGGGTGGCTCCAGATTGCCCGCATGTTGAGGACTACTCAAAGAGAGGGAGGGGCCGAAGGTCGCGCCACATCCTGAGTTTACAAGTAGTGAGGACCAAAAGGACAGTACTGAAGGGTAAGCACAGAACACGGACAAATTTACGCAAAACCCTGTGTAAAATGATGCTGAGAGAGAGAGAGATTATATAAGATTATATAATACAAAATATTTGTATATAATTCATATAATCATATAATTATAGTTAAAGTGTGTATATGTATATATATATATATAAAGTATAAAATAATAACAACAATAATGATAATAGTAACGTATATATATATATATATACATACATACATACATATATAGCCATAGCATATATATAAACATATGTAACTATTTCCCCAGATAGCTAGCAAGCTATAGGGGTTCTTACTTCTCAAAGGTGGGGTCTTCGGTGGCGACCTTTTGAGCCCAGGGTGCTGTGCAGGGTGCTGTCCAGAGTGCGGTGGCGAAGTCTGGCAAGGCTGTGCAGGGTGGTGCAAGGTGCTGTGCAGGGTGCTGTGCAGGGTGCTGTGCTGCGGTGGCAAAGGTGCTTTGCAGGGTGTGCAGGTGCTGTGCAGGGTGTGTCCAGACTGCGGTGGCGAAGTCTGGCAAAGGTGCTGTGCAGGGTGCTGTGCAGGGTGCTGTCCAGACTGCGGTGGCGAAGTCTGGCAAAGGTGCTGTGCAGGGTGCTGTGCAGGGTGCTGTGCAGGGTGCTGTCCAGACTGCGGTGGCGAAGTCTGGCAAAGGTGCTGTGCAGGGTGCTGTCCAGACTGCGGTGGCGAAGTCTGGCAAAGGTGCTGTGCAGGGTGCTGTGCAGGGTGCTGTCAGGGTGCTGTCCAGACTGCGGTGGCGAAGTCTGGCAAAGGTGCTGTGCAGGGTGCTGTGCAGGGTGCTGTGCAGGGTGCTGTGCAGGGTGCTGTGCAGGGTGCTGTGCAGGGTGCTGTGCAGGCAGGTGCTGTCTGTGCGAGACTGGTGGCTGTGCAGGTGCTGTGCAGGGTGTTGTCCAGACTGCGGTGGCGAAGCTGTGCAAGTGCTGTGCAGGGTGCTGTGTTCAGGGTGCTGTGCAGGGTGCACTGCGGTGCTGTCTGGCAGACTGTGGTGCTGTGCAGGGTGCTGTGCAAAGGTGCTGTGCAGGGTGCAGGGTGCTGTCAGGGTGCTGTGCAGGGTGCTGTGCAGGGTGCTGTGCAGGGTGCTGTGCAGGGTGCTGTGCAGGGTGCTGTGCAGGGTGCTGTGCAGGGTGCTGTGCAGGCAGGGTGCTGTGCAGGGTGCTGTGCAGCGTGCTGTGCTTTGGTTCCCGCGTTGGGAACCATCAGTTCCAATCTTTAGGAATTGGAAGTTCTTTGCAATGGTAACCTATGGTTCCCAGGTGGGGAAGCATGAGTTCCCAACCTCTGGTAACCGGCAGTTGCTTGCAATGGTAACCCATGGTTCCCAGGTTGGGAACTCCTGCAACCTCTGGGAACCGGCAGTTCCTTGCAATGGTAACCTGTGGTTCCCACGTTGGCAACCGTGAGTTCCAACCTTTGGGAACGGGCAGTTCCTTGCCATGAACCAAACGCAAAGATTCCGGTACCGGTCCATTAAGCAAAACAAAGCGTTCTGTACCGGTCCATTAAGCAAAACCATAAAATTGTAAAGAAACTGTTCTCATATCTTTTTGACATGCGCCTTTTTCGTTCAAAAACATTTTTCTGCAGGCCCAACAGCCAAACGCAAACATTCCGCTACCAGTCCATTAAGCAAAACAAAAGGTTCTGTTACCGGCTCAGTAAACAAAACAAAACAACATTAAGAACCATGAGGTCTAACTTTTTGCAATCAACAGATCCTTCCACTGGTAACGTATGCTTTTTCAGGTTTGGAACCATGAGTTTCAAACTTTGGGAATCCGCAGTTCCTTGCAATGATAGTTGCTTAGCTTCGAAAACAAAAATTCTAACTTCTGGGAACCGGCAATTCCTTGCAATGGTAACCTCTGGTTCCCAGGTTGGGAACCGTAAGTTTCAAGGTCTGGGAACCGGCAGTTCCTTGCCATGGTAACCTTTGGTTCCCACGTTGGGAACCGTCAGTTCCAACCTTTAGGAACCGGAAGTTCTTTGCAATGGTAACCTGCGGTTCCCAGGTGGGAACCGGCAGTTCCTTGCAATGGTAACCTCTGGTTCCCAGGTTGGGAACCATGCGTTCCAACCTCTGGGAACCGGCAGTTCCTTGCAATGGTAACCTGTGGTTCCCACGTTGGCAACAGTGAGTTCCAACCTTTGGGAACCGGCAGTTCCTTGCCATGAACCAAACGCAAACATTCTGGTACCGGTCCATTAAGCAAAACAAAGCGTTCTTTACCGGTCCATTAAGCAAAACCATAAAGTTGTAAAGAAAATGTTTTCATATCATTTTAACATGCACCTTTTTCGTGCAAAAACATTTTTATGCCGGCCCAACAGCCAAACGCAAACATTCCGCTACCGGTCCATGAAGCAAAACAAAAGGTTCTGTTACCGGCTCAGTAAACGAAACAAAACAACATTAAGAACCATGAGTTCTAACTTTTTGCAATCAACAGATCCTTCCACTGGTAACGTATGCTTTTTCAGGTTTGGAACCATGAGTTTCAAACTTTGGGAATCCGCAGTTCCTTGCAATGATAGTTGCTTAGCTTCGAAAACAAAAATTCTAACTTCTGGGAACCGGCAATTCCTTGCAATGGTACCCTCTGGTTCCCAGGTTGGGAACCGTAAGTTTCAAGGTCTGGGAACCGGCAGTTCCTTGCCATGGTAACCTTTGGTTCCCACGTTGGGAACCGTCAGTTCCAACCTTTAGGAACCGGAAGTTCTTTGCAATGGTACCCTATGGTTCCCAGGTTAGAAAGCATGAGTTCCAACCTCTAGTAACCGGCAGTTGCTTGCAATGGTAACCCATGGTTCCCAGGTTGGGAACCAGGAGTTCCAACCTCTGGGAACCGGCAGTTCCTTGCAATGGTAACCTGTGGTTCCCACGTTGGCAACCGTGAGTTCCAACCTTTGGGAACGGGCAGTTCCTTGCCATGAACCAAACGCAAAGATTCCGGTACCGGTCCATTAAGCAAAACAAAGCGTTCTGTACCGGTCCATTAAGCAAAACCATAAAATTGTAAAGAAACTGTTCTCATATTTTTTTGACATGCACCTTTTTCGTTCAAAAACATTTTTCTGCAGGCCCAACAGCCAAACGCAAACATTCCGCTACCAGTCCATTAAGCAAAACAAAAGGTTCTGTTACCGGCTCAGTAAACAAAACAAAACAACATTAAGAACCATGAGGTCTAACTTTTTGCAATCAACAGATCCTTCCACTGGTAACGTTACTTTTTCAGGCTTGGAACCATGAGTTTCAAGCTTTGGGAACCCGCAGTTCCTTACAATGATAGTTGCTTAGCTTCGAAAACATAAATTCTAACTTCTGGGAAACGGCAATTCCTTGCAATGGTAACCTCTGGTTCCCAGGTTGGGAACCGTAAGTTTCAAGGTCTGGGAACCGGCAGTTCCTTGCCATGGTAACCTTTGGTTCCCACGTTGGGAACCATCAGTTCCAACCTTTAGGAATTGGAAGTTCTTTGCAATGGTAACCTATGGTTCCCAGGTTGGGAAGCATGAGTTCCAACCTCTGGGAACCGGCAGTTGCTTGCAATGGTAACCTCTGGTTCCCAGGTTGGGAACCAGGAGTTCCAACCTCTGGGAACCGGCAGTTCCTTGCAATGGTAACCTGTGGTTCCCACGTTGGCAACAGTGAGTTCCAACCTTTGGAAACCGGCAGTTCCTTGCCATGAACCAAACGCAAACATTCCGGTACCGGTCCATTAAGCAAAACAAAGCGTTCTTTACTGGTCCATTAAGCAAAACCATAAAGTTGTAAAGAAACTGTTTTCATATCATTTTAACATGCACCTTTTTCGTGCAAAAACATTTTTATGCCGGCCCAGCAGCCGAACGCAAACATTCCGCTACCAGTCCATTAAGCAAAACAAAAGGTTCTGTTACCGGCTCAGTAAAACAACACAACATTAAGAACCATGAGTTCTAACTTTTTGCAATCAACAGATCCTTCCACTGGTAACGTATTCTTTTTCAGGTTTGGAACCATGAGTTTCAAACTTTGGGAATCCGCAGTTCCTTGCAATGATAGTTGCTTAGCTTCGAAAACAAAAATTCTAACTTCTGGGAACCGGCAATTCCTTGCAATGGCACCCTCTGGTTCCCAGGTTGGGAACCGTAAGTTTCAAGGTCTGGGAACCGGCAGTTCCTTGCCATGGTAACCTTTGGTTCCCACGTTGGGAACCATCAGTTCCAACCTCTTCTATCTGGGGTCTATGCCGGTGTAATTGTTTCATCTAATTATATATATATAAAGGCAGTACTTATATATACGCATGTCAGTTACAAAACACACAAACAAAAGAAAGAACTCTCTCTCTCTCTCGCTCACACAAACGCGCAGAACTTCAAGGCTCACGACGACGGAGGTCCGACTCCAGATCTGAGCACCTCAGACCGCATAAATTCAAAGAGTGTTCCGTCGGTTTCGTTGGCAATTTTTGCAGTTGATCACGTTTGATCAGTTGCGTTAGGTCTTACTATGAGTCCTTGGCTAAGCCTCTGACATCCTGTGACAATGCTTTTTGAGTGACTGGGACTTGTGACTCGAGCAGAGTCAGGTCTTCTTCGAGCTCACGAGATCGTCGGCGACGTAAAAGGCATCGAGTGTTGAGAGAATTGAGACATTTGGACACCTATGAATGATAGTTGATCATGTTTCATGTGGACAGAGAGATGGCAAGACTTGTATGAGAAGTCTGAGATGTGTCGAAACGCCAGGGGACGAGATGGGTCTAGGAGCCGGCACCGTCGCAGACGGTGATGAGCTCATGACCCTCCAAGTTTCCAGGCCCCATTCAGATCCGAGTAGTGCTGCCTTCTGGCCTTTTCACGACTTTTTTCGTAGATGCTTTCCAAGACATAAAAATGCAGTAATTAATCGTACATGCCACTTGCTTCACATGCTGGTGCAGTTGCCTTTCTTTCAGCAGCCCAGGAGGCTTTTTGTGTTGAGAGCCCGTCGGTTGTCGCTTAGAGGCAGGCCAAAATCGGCTTCTCAAAGTAATGTACATATGCAGCCAATTTGTGGGCTGCATTCGCTGACGGGGCTCACCCAATTGATGCGCCTGGCAAATGACGATTGCCTGCGCTATGTCAACTTAGAGTTGCTGACATGGCTGCGCGTGAATGCCAGTGGCTCTAGGCAGGAGTTAGGGACTCTGTTTGGTGGCAGCGAGAAACGGCGTGGATGGGTGATGGGAGATAAACTATAATCTGCATGCGCATTTAAGAGTTGCCATTTTGATGCCAGCTGAGTGTTGCAGCACTTGTCCAGATCAAACACAACTTCTTCGGGACACCAGTTGCACACACGCACCTTGACAAAATCTCCCCGAAGGGTGTGTCCAGCAGCAAACCTCCCGCATCCTACGGCAAGAGCACGCAATGCTAATGTTTTCTCCTCGGCAGACAGATTTTCAGATATGCGCAATGGCGCACCAGCTGTGTTTACAGCGGCTCGCTGTGTTGCCTGAGGCTATGCCATATGCCATATGCGGCTTTACCTGTGAAACAGTTTGCTAGGTGTAAACCCGGCAGGCAGTCAAGAGCATCTCGTGCTTGGAAACGGGCGATGTGGTTTTATCTTCAAAGTCCAATGTTTGGGTGGCGCTCTTAGCGCTTCCTCCTTGCGAGCAATCTTTTGCTACACATACTATACAGCAGTTTCTGCTGTAGCTTTTTCTTCAAGGCTTTCAGTTGTGCACTTGTTTTGTGTGCTGCTGCTATGGATAATTGATGAAACAATGAGGCACAATTATGGCTGGCATTTCAGATTTCAGCACAGCTGGACTACCAAGGTTTTTCCTTCCCATGTTTGCAGCCAAGCTGCACTTCCACAGATTGAATGTGAGGTTCGCTGCGAGTATGAGTTTCTTGATGGTTGTAAGACCAGAAAATACAAATAATTGCAGCATATTGCAGCCATGAGAGGCTACTTGCATCCTGGCGCGCAAGACTCAGGGTGCTGTAGCAAAAGACGCAAAAACAACTTTCAGACCAGTGCAATTGAAATTTTTGTGTGGGCTCTCCACTCCTAGTTTGGGCTCTCAAACCATTGCAGCGGGTGATCATGTCGGAAGCTTAATCTCTGCCAGCAGTCTTTCTGAGCTTGTACCTCTGAGCCAGAGCTCAAAGACACCCCAGGCAGGTCGAGTCAAAGTTTGGCTGCAGCCTCAGCATGTCCCAGCACTACAAGACACGACATGAAGAAGTGTGGCAGGCACTTGCGACGCCAAACTTTGAAGGAGGCCTGGTACACACACACACATATATATATAGGGTTGGGAAACTTTGTTGAGCTTGGCCTATCCAACAGCAGGTGAGGAACATCCATGTCCATTTTTCTGCTGCCTCCGGCTCAGTGGAAATTTGGTTATTGTTGAAACTGAAACTTGGGGGGAACGCTGGCACCAAACAGTTTTATTATCCTTGCATTGTCTTGGCAGCAACCTGTCGAAGCATCCAACTCGGGTTGTGCTTATATTTAGTCAGGTGTGGACTGGCTCTAGGACGGTGCCAAACCCCTTTTAAAAACCGTTTTGGCACATGTTCTCCGTCAATTGCAGTGTTTCAAGGCTGAAACTAAAACACTTAACATCAAATCGTAAGACACTAAAAAAAGCCTGAAATAAAAACAAAATCAAGCCAAGTAAACCCAAAACCAACCCAAAATACACCCGAAACTAACCAAGAAAAATAAGATAAATAAGACAACACCAAAACACCAAGAACATTCTTAAATAACCCAAGAAGTGCCTGACCCCCAATGAAAACTTGCGTTCCCACCCGGAGGCATACATGTGTACATGAGTGTACATTCCTCAATCATTTCAATCACATACGCATAGAACATGTGTTTATGTTTGTTTATGTGTTTATGTGCATACATACACACACACAAATATAGTTGCAAATGTACACGCACACACATATATATAGATACACATATAATATATACACAAAAGCAAGTGTTAACATGCATATGCATACACACATGTATGTGCATATATAGGTATAAAGTAAAGATACACACACACACGCACATATATTTTCTTACAGGCATTTGTGCACACACACACATGTGCATGTACTACATATATATATATATAACATACATGTCCATATGTATTTATATACGCATATACATGCACACACACATATGCATACATACATACATACATACATACATGCATGCATGCATGCATGCATGCATGCATGCATGCATACATACATACATACATACATACATACACACATACACACATACACACACACACATACATACATACATACATACATACATACATACATACATACATACATACATACATACACATACATACATACATACATACATACATACATACATACATACATACATACATACATACATACATACATACATACATACATACATACATACATACATACATACATACATACATACATGTATATCTATCTATCTATCCATCTATATATATATACATATACATACAGATACATATACATATACAGGTACATATACATATACAGATACATATACAGGTACATATACATCCCGGCGCCTGGTTTACCGCGCGTGTGTTTTGGCATTTTCTTAAGAGTCTTTATGATGACCTTCATGTTCATCTCTTGGTATTTGCAGGACTTTTGAAGCAATCATCATCATGTTTGGTCAGAAAATGTGGCTAATTCCATTGTTTTTATTTTTTCATCATTTTTCACTTGTATTTGCACGCTTTTGTGCACGCCAGGAGTAGAAAGAGGCTGTTTCAGGATGCCTTGTTTTTTGATGGATTTGCGTTTCGCCACAGGGAGAGAACAAAAAAATCAGACTTTTCGTTTTTTTTTTTTCTGGCGCAGCACTTTCACTGCATGTTCGCTCGAAGAGTCTCGGCTGTCAAACGGCTCAGATTGGCACAGGCATGCACAGGCACTGTTTTCCCAGCGCCATTGCCATTGGTATGTGTGCAAGTGCACGAGACGAGTTCGGTAGCGTAGCATCAGGTATGTGTGCAAGTGCAAGAGAAGAGACCGGTAGCGTAGCATCAAGTATGTGTGCTAGTGCCATTGAACGTTATTAGCCCACCCCACCCCACCCCACGCAAACCCATCTGTAGCGTAGCATCAGGTATGTGTGCAAGTGCAAGAGACGAGGTCGGTAGCGTAGCATCAGGTATGTGCAAGTGCACGAGACGAGGTCGGTAGCGTAGCATCAGGTATGTGTGCAAGTGCAAGAGAAGAGACCGGTAGCGTAGCATCAAGTATGTGTGCTAGTGCCATTGAACGTTATTAGCCCACCCCACCCCACGCAAACCCATCTGTAGCGTAGCATCAGGTATGTGTGCAAGTGCAAGAGACGAGGTCGGTAGCGTAGCATCAGGTATGTGTGCAAGTGCACGAGACGAGGTCGGTAGCGTAGCATCAGGTATGTGTGCAAGTGCAAGAGAAGAGACCGGTAGCGTAGCATCAAGTATGTGTGCTAGTGCCATTGAACGTTATTAGCCCACCCCACCCCACCCCACGCAAACCCATCTGTAGCGTAGCATCAGGTATGTGTGCAAGTGCAAGAGACGAGGTCGGTAGCGTAGCATCAGGTATGTGCAAGTGCACGAGACGAGGTCGGTAGCGTAGCATCAGGTATGTGTGCAAGTGCAAGAGAAGAGACCGGTAGCGTAGCATCAAGTATGTGTGCTAGTGCCATTGAACGTTATTAGCCCACCCCACCCCACGCAAACCCATCTGTAGCGTAGCATCAGGTATGTGTGCAAGTGCAAGAGACGAGGTCGGTAGCGTAGCATCAGGTATGTGTGCAAGTGCACGAGACGAGGTGGGCAGCGTAGCATCAGGTATGTGTGCAAGTGCAAGAGACGAGGTCGCTAGCGTAGCATCAAGTATGTGTGCTAGTGCCATTGAACGTTATTAGCCCACCCCACCCCAACCCACCCCACCCCATCGGCCAAAAAAAACACAAAAACGCACGTACGGTAAACCAGCCGCCAGCATATACATATACATGATCATATACATATACATGCATACACACATATATATATATACACATATTTGTAGATGTAGGTGCATATTTACAAGTTTGCACAAGGGAGAGAGAGGGAGAGTCACGCACACACGCACAGAAACACGCATGGACACACATGTGCAGACACACATTTTTGCCCCGCGCATTGCATACAGTACTTAGTACATGTACACATAGAATCAAAAAGATGCACGATACATGCAGCATGCAGTACATTGCATAGCCTCACTCATTCACTTGATAATGTTAGACATTCTATGCCTTTTGGTGTTTGTTGCAGTTGACCACCATTCCTGACCTAGATTCGGGCCATCAGCAGTGGTGGAGACATTCTACTTACTGCATCTGATGTGCAGAACTTGGGACCTGTGTGGCACAAGGCTGCAAGGCACTTCATGCAACCCAGTGACATGCTGATTTTCAAGTTCAGGATGGGTCAGTGAAGCAACTTGACGTTTTGTCCAACTTTGTGCCTTCGGACTTCTTCACAACAGGAATCTTGGTGATTTTAATGATGCAATGGTACACCTCAAGCTACTTGAAACCCATTTTGAAGAGGAGTCCCTGCAACAAGTGTCCTCGCCCGTGGCAAGAACGTACTTGTGGGTTGTGAGGACGATGGATCATGTTTCGTGTGTGACTTATGACATTGTGGCATATTGTGGTGGCGGGATGGTTGAATTCGTGCATTTTTTGCAGGATGGTATAGCTGGTTCCTCAGATGGCATTTGCAGTGGCTCCTGGAGAGACGATGAAGCTGGGCCAGCTTGAACTGAAGCCTGAGCTGAGTACTGAAGCGCTCCTATTACTTTCTTTCCAGAGGTGTGGGAGCTCTCCCGTCGCCTAAACCACCCAACAGTATTGCGGCGTCTAGAGTTAGGCAAGGCTTGAGGGTTGCGCAGACGAGAGACGAGCTTCAGATGCTGTTCAGCCACGCTGAATTTTTGTTCCATTCTCCTTCCTTCCTTCCTTCCCTCCTTCCTGGTTATCTTCCAGCTTTGACTGAAAAACAATTCAAAGTTGACCATGCTGCCAGGTGCTCCAGTTTTATCCCTCGATGCCGATGCAGAATTTCCAGGCCTGGAGCAAGCACAAAATGGCCACTGGCAAACACTTGCAGATTAAAGAAATTTGCTTAGGTGCTCGAGTGCTTGCGGCCGGTCATGGAAGATTTGCAGTATGGCTTGACCTTGCGCATGACGTAGAAGAGGCAGGGCTGACATCATGCAAACATGACATGACCTTTATTTGCACTGTTTTCCCTGCACATTTCGCACTTTGATTCAGTAGCCGCCTGTTGAAGGTGCAACCGCCCACCCTCAGTGGCAAGTGTGGGCCAGATGCTGTGGTATGGTTCCCCAGGGAAGTTCAGCAGCTGTTTCTGTGCGGAGTAGGAAATGGGCCTATTGTGGGCCTGTTTCACCTCAGGTGAAACTGCTTCCTGGACGGCCGCAGGCACATATTGTTTCACTTCCTTTTTTTGTTTGGGTCAACTGTGGCAAACCAGTCCCAGATCACAAGTGAATACGCGTGAAGGACTTGTTGGTCATCAGTGGCAGTGATCCCCTGGATGGTGCCTCCATCCGCCGGCATGCATCTTTCGACGTGCCCGGCTTCCCAGTGCAAGACAGGTGGAAAGCAAATGAAAGCGTTGCCTTGCAGAATCAGAGCGCCCACCTGCGAGGCTCAAAAGTGCGATCCCGACCTGCTTGGCTGAGAGGATATTTCGAATCATGTCTATTTGCCATGGTATATATATATGTACACATTTGTATGCCTTCCACGATCCAGGTCCAGACTTGCAGAGCACTTGCTCGTGATCCTCGATCCAACCTTTCCTTCTACTTTGTTGCTGAAGTCCTGCAGGCCTGATGCCCTATCTCTGTTTTCTGCACCAGACACAGCATTTTTGAAACTGCAAAGAGAGGTGTTGACTCCTTTTGCACTGCTAGGGTGCAAACCGACAAATGGAACTCTTCAGGATTCTTCCATCTGAGGCTGGATTGCAGATATTTACAGTCACAAGCAATCGAGCACTGCGCGTGGTCTAGGTACCTTCCAAGTGTGCTATACAGGACCTGCCTTTGCAGGATGAACCTGACAAGGACAGCATACTTGTGACATTCACAGCATCAAACGTTGAGTCTAGTCACTTGCATATTGTGTTTAGTTGTGCAAGGAGCTGGCAAGAGCCTCGCCAGAGGATGAATTCTCTTCTTTGAACGTGCCCTCCTCTCCCAAAGCAAATTGGTTGCAATAAGAAGACCTTGCTTTTAACACAACCAGTTGCACAACCACAACATCGATTTCTTTCAAGTCCAAGGATGGGGAGGATGATGATGAAGCGGAAAGGAGCACTGCCGGTGGCCCCTCCAGATCAAGATCGCACAGGTGCTGTGGTAGATGGTGGTGCTTGCCGTTTGGCGTAGCTGCACATGCGCTTGATGTAAATCAGGCGAGTGAAGGCGTTCCGTGATCCGACGCAAGCGCCAGCAACCAAGAGACTGTCCCAGTGCGAATCGGCTAGGAGTCTTACTTGCTGTTGGAGTCTTTCGAGGTCACTAGCGAAGATAACAACTGAGCCACTAGGTCCATGACAAGCTTGATGCAAAACACCAGAGCAGGAAGAAGAAAAAAGACAATTAAACAAAAAATAAAATGGAAATTTAATGAAATTATGTAACTATTATTATCTTTTACTTCTTAAATAAATAAATATATATATATAATATAATTATTCGATATTATAAATAAATTTTCTAGAAAATAATTAAAAACAATCTAGAAAATAAATTTCAAATTAGGATTTTTGTTGCAATTTCATGTACAGAGCCACCCCAGTTTTCACTCATACTCCGCAGCCCTATGTTCAAGGAAAAAGAGCCCAATCGCTGACCGTGTTTCACAACATGGTAGCGGAGCTGTCCTGGTGACGCTCCAGCTGAAATGAGTGGGAACCCGGCCGAGGTGCCGTTGGTCCAAGCCCTGGCTACGGCCACGGCAGCCGCACAGTCGGCGGCCGCTGCACTCGAGGAAGTGCGGCGTGCCCAAACGGCTAGCTTAGCAACCAAGCCCAAGGAGCTTGAGTTGACTGGACGGCCAGAAGAGGATAGAAGACTGTGGGCAGACTGGAGATTTGCCGCTACCCAGTTTTTGGCTTCCAAGGATGGAGCCTATCTGACGGAGATCCCGCAGGCCATTGCAGCCGCGGATCCAATCGACCTGAGGACAATGGTCCAGGACAGGCAGCAGCGTGGAAGGCTGTTGTTCACGTACCTTTGTGGCAACGTGAAGGGCCGACTGCTTGCCATGCTTAGGGAACCCACCCTGGCGAGTACGTCCAATGGCTTTGAGGCCATGCGCCGGTTCCACAAGGACATTGAGCCTAAGTCAGGCGCAGCAGCCTTGGGGCTGTTGGAAGCTATCCTGACGGTGCCTCCGCCACCAAAGGAAACCAACCTCAGAGACGCAATAGTTGCCGTGGAGCGACTGTTTAGCGACTATGAGGCGACATCGTCAGAGAAGCTGAGCAATCACGTCAAGATTGCAGCCCTGAGGAAAATGTTGCCCCCGGAAATGCGCGTCCACGTGAACATGCAAATCCGGGACAACACCACCTATGAAGACCTAAAGAAAACGGTGACGGAATATGAGGTAGCCGAGAGGCGCTACAACCCTTTAGCCCAGAGTGTCTACGACCATCAGGGTCCTGCCCCTATGGAAGTGGACCAAATCCAGCACGATGGTGGCAAAGGGAAGAAAGGTGGAAACAAAAGCGGCAAGGGAAAAGAAAAGGGATCCACTCCAGTGTGTAAGACCTGTGGTAAGTCTCACAAAGGAGAGTGTTGGCACAAAAGCAGCCCTCCGGCCCATGGAGCTGGAAAGGGTGGAGCACAGAAAGGCAAAGGAGCAGGAACCACCAAAGGTGAGAAGGTTCCGTGCCAAATCTGCGGTAAGTCAAACCACACTGCGGACAAGTGCTTCCAGCGCTACAAAGACAAAGATAAGGACAAAGGGCAATCCAAAGGTGGCAAGGCAGTTCAGCAGACACAGGAGGCCTCTGGTGCCACTGTGACAGGAGTCAGCCGACAGGATGCTGATACCTCACCGGAGACTGAGTTGCGCCACGCCACTGGTGGCATCAGGGCATGCACACCGGATGGAAGAGCCTTAGTCCTACTGGACTCTGGGAGCGATGAGCATCTTTGCCCACCTGATTTCGCAAGCTGGAGTCGGGAAGTGGTCAAGACTGAAGGGCCAAGACTGAAGGATGCTCAAGGAAAACTCATCGCCCATGAGTTTAGGTATCGACTGGTCAAGTTGAGGGCTTACACCGGGACTGGTCGAACTGTGGACTTCACGATTCCATTCTTGATTGGTCCGGTCAATCAGCCCATCCTCTCAGTTGGAAGATTGGCAGCCGACCTGGGAGTCGAGCTCAAGATCACCAAACGGGGAGCAGTCGTGGTCATGGAAGGCTATGACTTTGAGGTAGAAAAGCACATGCAGAGCTTCTACCTGCCGTGCTATCCCTTGAGTCCGGAAGGTGACCAAGGAGTGAGAGCTGTTCAATCGGCCAAGATGATGATCTTGGATGGGGACATCGTCAAGTATCGGCAACGGCTGAAGGAGGATCCGAAGCCATTGGATCTTAAAGGGCGTTCCACGGAGACGGCCCCAGAACCTTCACGGCGGGAGACTGCGCCCAAGGTCGAGGTCGCCGAGAGGCCGGTTGAAGACGATGTTCACAAGGAGGACACCGTCGCGAAAGAAGATTCGGAGGCAAAACCTAAAAGGAGACGCCGTCGACGTCGAGAATCTTCTCGGCGAGGACGCCGGACCAGGAGTCCGGATGTCAAGGATGAAGAAGAAGAACGGGAAACTGAACCCGTGGAAAAAAAGGAAAAGAAGAGGAGAGAAGAGTCGCCAGATATGGTCAGGGTAGCCAAGGCAGAGCCCTGTTCTCCCTCTGAGAGAAGCGGAAGTCCCGTGGCGGACTACGGTGACGACCACTCTTCCTTGGAAGAAGAGGCGGCAGAGCGTCGTCGGGAAATGATACCTGAAGGCGACGGGCGACATGCCCGATCCTCAGGATCAGGGGTTGAAAATCGGAGGCCTAGGAGCCCCGACAGGGAAAGGCCTCAGAGCCCTGGACGACGACCTGCCAAGAGAAAGGACTGGACGGAAGAAGAAAGACGTCAAGACAACAAGGAAGCCCGTGAGCGAAAGAAAGCCCGTAAGGAGGCTTGGAAGGCGGAATCTGCCCGTGAGCCTGAGAAGGGCAAAGAGAAAGGAAAATCCAAGAAGGGAAAATCGAAAGGAAAAGGGAAAGGTGGAAAATGGAGCCACGTCAAAGCCATTACCTTCGATGGCTGGGCCTGTGCGGCAGGCGATCCGCCAGATCCGGTTGATGGAGGGATGGAAGTTGTTCCGGATGACCCGGAGTCTCTGGAAGTGGTGTCTGGACCACCTGTGGAAGCAGAAGCTGCGGCTGGAGGATCCGAGGAGGTCCTGCCACAGCCAGTGGTGGCAGCGGATGAGCCCGTGGCGGCACCGCTCAATGAAAACAGCAGAGTGACAGACCTGAGAGCAAGACTCAAAGAGCTTGGTGCTCCAGTGTGGGGAGATAAATCCAGGCTGTGGGAGCGTCTTCAAGAATATGAAGCACGCCGGAAAGCAACTGCAGAAACGGAGGCGATTCTCAAAGCCCGAGAGGAAGCTTTGAATCAGGACCCGACGCTGGGTCGCCAACCGTTGGATTTGGCCGCGCCAGCTCCACCCTCGGAGGTGGAGAGAAGATTACATGAGCTGACCCATCTTCCCTACCAACCGTGGTGTGAGGCGTGTGTGCGTGGTAGAGGTAAAGATCTGCCTCACTACGGCATGCACCGGGGTGAACTTGAGGAAGCTAGACTCCGACCCATGGTATGCATGGACTGGTTCGATGTAGCCAGCTCCGGAGAAGATGGGAAAAGAGTTGAAGGGACAACGGTTACCCTTCTACTCACGGATGCAGAGACCGGGTATGTTGCTGCAATCCCATCTCCATCCAAGGGACAAGAGATGTACTCGCACCTGGCGAAAATGGTGATTACGTTCCTCAAGCTCATGAGGCACGAGAAGCTGAAGATTCGCAGCGACCAGGAGCCTGCCTTAAAGGCCTTAATCGGAATGGTCAAGGAGAAATGGCCACATCGGATCTTGGTGGAGGAGAGTCCGTTGTACTCTTCCCAATCCAACGGCAGAGCCGAACGCGCCATCCAGACAGTAAGGCGTCTAGCGGCCAGCATTCGCATGGCCGTGGAGCTGCGAATAGGTATGGCACTCGATTCAGGAATGATCGTGTGGCCGTGGCTGATTAGACATGCAGCTTGGCTTCACAGTTACTTCCATGTGAAGTATAATGGTAGAACCTGCTACGAGGAGCTGTACCAGACACGGTATAAGAACGAGGTAGTGGCCTTTGGTAAGTCAGTGGTCTTCATGGAACCTTATCCGGCAAGCAGACGCAAGAAGCAAGGCAAAAGGCGTCAGAAAATGGACGCAAATATGGAGCCAGGCATTTGGCTTGGCCGAGCAGAAGAATCTGACGAGCATCTCGTTGGCACGTCGAGAGGCGTCTAACGGTGTAGACCATCAGAAGACGGGAGGAGTTAAGTCAGTGGGACGAACGGCTTTTTACTGAAATCAAGGGAATGCCCTGGGACTTGACCTTGGAGGCTGTGGCCCGTGGAAGGCCAAAGAAGGTGCTCGTGCATTTTGTCGCACCGCTCCCGGAAGTGGTAAAGCAGCCTGACGGATCGTTGAGGACATCCGCGGAGGCTGAAGCCCAGACGATGGCACATGAAGAGAACGAATATGAACCAATGACCCCAGCTTAGACCCCACGACAGGAACCGGAGTCGAGCGGAGGGGAAGAAGCCAAGGAAGCTTCGGTGCCATCAGGAGGTGACCAGCAAGAGCAGCCCATGTTGGAGCTGCCCACTGGTACGAAGCGAAGTGGAGAGAACGAGATACTAATGAGTCCGATAAAGAAACAAGTACTTCTCTCGCCAACGGGAATGAAGCGTGGACCTGAGATCCCAGCCGAGGCATTTGATCCTCGGGTCACGGATACAGGCGGGGAAGGTGACGACGGACCAGAAGGTGGGGTACTTCAGGTGTTAATATGGACGAGGTAGCCTCGGAGTTACCAGAAGAAAGTTATATCCATCTTGGAGAGGACAACATACCTGCAAGTGGCCCAACAGGCCATCTGGACACATGGACTGATGAAAAATGGATCTCAGAGAGCTTGAAGGGCAAGGCCAAGGAGCTTACCCGGCTTAAACACTATGGGGTCTATGTGGCAATATCACGGTCCCAGGCCAAAGGGAAGTATGTGACCACCAGGTGGGAAGAAGTTCTTAAGTTCAAGAACGGTGAATGGATCATTCGATCCAGGTTTGTTGCCCGTGAATTTAAGTGGCAATAGCCCCACCGAAATGATATCTTCGGAGTTACTAGCTCGTCCAATACCTCTCGAATTCTGGACTTGCTGCTGGCCAAGAACCCAGGATATTGCGCGTATTTCGCGGATGTGGAATATGCATTCTTCCATGCCAATGAAGACGAGCTGTGTTTTGTGGAAGCTCCACAAGAATGGCTGGAAGAAAAATGGGAAGAAAATGGAGTAAGGACAAATTGGGTCTGGCAGCTGACCAAACAACTTTATGGCCGACAGAAGGTACTGCGACGTTTCGGTGACCACGCTGCACATATCGTCGTCGATCCAGTGGGATGTCGACGTTGCCCTGAGGTTCCTCGCCTTTATTACCATGAGGAGGAAGGTGTGGCGTTGGAAGTCCATGTGGATGACTTCTATGCAGTAGGCCCTGGGCAAGGATCCAAAAGAGTTCTCGAGGAGGTTGCAAAATATCTCACAATGCAGATCGAAAGACCCTATGATGAGATAAATCCGGAATTCGTCTATTTGAAATGTCACAGGACGATACGTCCGGAAGGAGTGTGGATCCAACCGGCAGAAGGGCATCTCAAGAAGTTGCTCGAGCTGAATGGCTTGACCATGGAGTCAAAGACTCGAGAGACCCCGGTGACCAAGACAGTGATCGGTTCACCAGAGGATGAACCCTTGTTACCGGATCAACACACCCGATTTAGAGCAGGTGTTGGAGTCCTGATGTATGTCAGTACTGACAGGCCGGACAGACAGCACACGGTGAATGAACTGGCATGCCTGATGACCAAGCCGACCGTGCGTGGTACAGAGGCAATGAAACATCTCTGCCGATACCTGCTACACACCAAAGACTATGATCTGATGTTCTCTCGTGACCTACAAGGTTGTAACTACGTCATTGTGATAACAAACAGTGACTGGGCAACGGATGTTGCTACAAGGAAATCTCGTTCAGCTGTCCACATTTACGTTGGAGACAGCCTGCTGTACTCCTTCACCAGAAGGCAATCTGTCATTGCACAGAGCTCTGGTGAAGCTGAACTGTACGCGACTGCTGCAGGAGTCTCAGAGGGGATACTCCTAGGGAAAATCCTTGGATTTTGTAGCGTGCTCCTTGGGCTAAGGACAATCTCCGATTCCGCAGCAAACAATGCCATGACCCACAGACTTGGTGTCGGAAGAGTCCGGCATTTAGACGTGAAGGTATTGTGGCTACAACAGATGGTCTACCAAGGTCTGCTGACAATGATCTGACAACCAGGCAAGTACAACAACAGCGACCTTGGCACAAAGGTCTTGGGAAAAGCCAAATTCCAGGAGTTGGTCGAGATGTGTGGGCTGAAGCCCTTGAACGGTGGACCAGGGAAAGTTACGCAAGTGAGAACCACTCCAGCGGAAGGATCTGTGCTGACGCCAGCCCAGGCGGGGCAAATCCTGACCATTGTGACCTGGTTGTCCCAAGTGGCAGGAGCTAAATCTGATCCAGACTTGGACAAATCAAATGATGCCGATTATATCCTATTGGTGATGCTTCTGATCGCCCTTGGAGCTGGGTGGACATTGGCATGGATCTGGTCATGGTGCCGATCCACCAGGTGTCATCAAAACGATGAGCCTGAAGACCTGGTTTTCTACAAAACTGGGAGTGGGGGGGGGGGGGGGGGCACAGTCCTGCATAGTAAGAGAACTGTTCCCTTTGAAAGCCAGGCAAGCGCATAGATGCCCGTACGGTTTGCAAAGACTGCAACCGTAAGAAGACGCGCTAGGGCTTGAGCTGACAGTGGCTCAAAGGGGGGGTCAACAGTATGACTGTGACACTAGGCGGGGTGTTGCAATTTCATGTACAGAGCCACCCCAATTTTCACTCATACTCCGCAGCCCTATGTTCAAGGAAAAAGAGCCCAATCGCTGACCGTGTTTTACAACAATTTTTCCAATATATCGATTATTATAAACATTAATATAGTAATTTCGAATCGGTTTATTTTTGGAAAGGGTTCTGGAATGGTTTCCTGCTTGGCCAAACGTATGAACTACCAGCTACTATAAGGGGAAACCATTTTAGAACTGCTGTATGCTTA